GGGAATGGTGACGCTGCAATCCCTTCTCCTCCATTTTCCTCTCAGGATCTTGGGCACACACACACATGCGCCCGGTGTGAGTTTAAGCCACCGGGTCCAGGACTCGAACCATGGTTGGGTACATGGGAGTCCAATGACATAGCCATTACATTATCTGTTGGTCTCAACTGTAGTGTATTTTAAAATTCACTTGAGCAGATAACCTGGACAGCCTTCTATCTCAGTAAACACAGATTTACTCCATTCTTTTTGTGGATTTGTAGTATTATATGGGGGAGGGGGCATACCATAAATTAGTCTTCCATTCCCGCCTGGTTGAACACTTAAGTTGTCTCTGAACTGTTACGACTATAAGCAATGCTGCAATAAACTTTCCTGTTTGTATACTTGTACGTATATCTGTGGGAGATAGCCTCAAAATGGAATTGTTGGTTGGAAGAATATGTATTTTTAAAGTTTTGTTAACTGTTGGCAATTAAAAGATTTACTTCTTGGGAGAAACAAACCTTAGTACTAGCCCAAAAAAGAGAGAGAGAGAGAGAGAGAGAAATTCCATGAGATAAAACTAAGTATTCTATTCCTCCTTTATTTTTATTCACCAAATAATTTTTAAATCTTCTTTTTTAAAGCATCGATAATGTCTTTGAAAAGCAATCCTGGTTCATTTAGTCAAACACTACCTAATCAGTTATTTTCTTTCACTGAAAAGAAAAAAGGAAAAAAAAAAAAAAAAAGACAGAACCTTGGCTCATGTACTAGCTCCAGCTGCCTTTAAAATACCCCTGCTAATACTTTATACTTGGGCTTGAGTAATGTCAGTGGGCTTTGTTCCTATTTATTATTCCTTCTTCTTTCCTTTAAAAAAAGATGTGTCTCACGCTTCTTGTATCACTCATTGTGTTGTTATTTTCTCCATGTTCCATTAAAACTGCTCAAAATCTGGACAGTTTGGCTCAAGTAAGATACCAGGAGCCTTTACCAACCTTCATAAATTTGATCATTTTGCTTTCTTTTATGTTACCATTTTAAAAATCCTCTAACCTTTCTCAGCATGATCTGGTATCCCAAAAGACAAGAAGCTGAGGTGCCTATAACATTTTTATCACATTCTGAGTTTCTTTTGTTCTAAGCTTAATTTGTGTACCTCAGCAAATTGTCTGCTTTTGTGAAATTTGGCCTTTATTTCCACGGTCTGTAGTTTCCCTTCCTATATGTATTTCACAATCTTTATTTTCATACATACATGCACAAATAAATAAACCCACTATTTGAATCCATATTCACCAATTTTATTTCAGAATAAGGCTATCGTTATCTAAATGAGATCCAATGACTCAGATTATTTTCATGTAGATTCTAAACTTATTTGTATGTCATTTTCTGGGTATCCTTGCTCTCTCTAAAGTGCTAAACTGAACTTCAGAACTAAAATGTTCATTCTACAATACATATTGTTGTACAGAAGAAAGCAGTCATTTCTCTTAAACAATTTCTATACTCTTAATCTTCCAGTAGAACATGTGCACATTAAAAGAAACGGAGGGAGGGCCAGCAAGTGGCATTGTGTTTAAGGTGCTGGATTCCCACGTGGCAAACCACAGT